TGTAGCCTTTGAGTTAGCTTTCCAACCATATATTGTGGAGACTAAATGGAGTTCTGAGGGAAAAGTTAAGTGCATTTTACTAACACTGCGCATTATGCTTGCTCGATTCTTTTTTCGTTCTAAACTATCATCCGTTGATCCTTGAACTCGATCCCGGCTTAATTCCTTAGGCTTTTACTTAGACTTCAAAGCTCCAAATCACTTGAATTCATTCCATAACATCTACATAGCTCGGAATCACTCCTACAAGGCATAAAACACACCATTAGTGCAAAACATTAGCAATTAAAGCTCAAACTCAATTAAAGCGCGGTAAATTAGAGTGTAATAAGCGACTAAAATACGTAATTATAGCCTATCATCAACACCCCACACTTAAACTATTGCTCGTCCTCGAGCAATCAAACTACACTTTATATCGACACGACCTTTTTAAACAATTCTCCTAGCTCATCATACCAAGAATAATCAAATAGACTAAGCACAAAAGCGTAACATCTTCGCCTCAAGATTTGACTCACAAGTACCACGCATTATTCACAACTCACCCACTTACTCTAACATAGAGGTCACTGACATTACCTTTCCTTCATGGATCAAGTGCCCTCACACAACAAAAGAGGGTAGTTCCACACAATAAAATTTAAGAACACTTAGGAACTTAAGATAGAAAGAATTCACTCACTCTCATAAATAACATTCATATGCCACAAAAGAATCACCATAGGCTTGACCGTAGTGTACTACTCTACTAATCGAGCTCATTTAATCTAGGATCAATTAGGACTTTATTTGGTTGTAATGTAGGTTGCGGGATAGGTAGGATACATTTAGATATAAGAGTGACTACACCTCCCTAAGAACTTTAATATATATACTTTAACATTCAAACCCCATACTTATGTCAAACCAAACTCCGCCTTCACATCAATGTATATTACCCCATACTTCTTTAAGCACAATTACATCAAGAGCCACCACTTATCAAGGAATATTTTTTTTTCACAACAATACAACTCTTTTTTTTTTCTTTTCTTTCTTTCTTTTTTTTTGAAATCCAAGTGGCTCTTAATTTTTCAAAACAGTGCACCTTTCTCCTTATTTCATTAGTTCCACTCAAAAGCCAGACCAACCACCCCACACTTTAACTTTTACCCAGTTCATAATAATTTAAGTGCTCATGAGAGGTGAAAATGTTCAAATAGATGGTTAATTCAAATAATTGGGTAAGGCTTTTAATGTGGTTGCCAAAGAAATAGGATTATAGGCTCAAAGGGGTTAACTACGATACACAACAATTAGGCGGGTAAAATATACATATCTGGCTCAACAAAGAAACACCTATATCATTTCCAAGACTGAACAAAACTACTATTTCGCTTTGTAAACACACGGGGCAGGTTCTAGGCATCAAATGCAATGCACAGAATAATGCAAAACCTTACACACACATGGCACATAACTCACTTAGGGTTGGACTCATCAAGACACTCTAGTCAAAGCAGTTAAGAAAAGTTAAGGTCATACAATTTAAGGTACTTATACAAGAGTCAAAACCGAGCCTAAGCGTCACAACCAAAGTACTCACTATTCTCAAGGCATAACAAAGTCAAGAGATATTGCTTCAATTCAAAACACAACACAATGGCCCTTGCTCCCAAAAAAAAAAAACTAACTACACCCGGTTCAAACAAAACCCTTGAAAAAGAACCGCGGCACAAAGAAAAACCAAACGGGAATTACTACACTACCTACAAAGAAAATCTTTTATTTTAAGACTTAAATCCCTCAAGAAAATTATCTAATAGATCCATCGTCGGGAAAAGTCCAATCTTTAAAATAAAAAATATTATTTTATTAAACTAACACAGCTAAAGTAGCATGAAAAGTCACCTAGACAACCTCCTCACCCCACACTTAAAATTGTGCATGTCCCCAATGCACACCATAACTAACAAGAGAGTGAAAGAAACTCCCTGGTAGGCCAAAGGCCGAAGCACAACAACTCATGGGGTATTCAGACTTCTCCCAAGCTTGGTCCTTCGTGCGGGTACCTCACACTTAGTTCCAACCATTTGGTTTGCTGTTTCATCCTTCCAATAGCTTTGCTTTCCATGCTCCTAGAAAATCAAAAATCGACACTACAAAAATAATATAATAATTAAAAAAATAAACTAAATAAAAAATTTAAAAAATAAAGCTGGGTTGCCTCCCAACAAGTGCTTGATTTAACGTCGCGGCACGATGTGAATCACTTTTTGCCTCCACCTTGAGCTTATGAATTGAACCCCAAGTTATGATTCAAGCTTATGATTATGGTCATGGGGCGGTGGAACGAATCTAACTGGCCCAAGGAAATAATGTAGTATTCTGCACTCCTTGGCCTTTGTATGAGGTATGTAATCCTGACTTTCTGGCAAGAAGAATTCCAGAATATATGCACCTTGTTCCTCATTCCTTGACTCTTCAATTGATTCGGATGACTCTATTTCCATATCATCATCCAAACATAATGTGGAAAAATGCTTGGAGTGTGGACCAATGCGCTCAAACACATGAACTTCATGACTTTCGACATCCTCAACATCAATGATACTAGAGTCAACAAAATTTATATCCTCAAAGTCCTTGGCTGGCTCTAGTCTCACTTCTTCAACATTGACATCCTCAAATTGTAGTTGGCTAGATTGTTGATGTTCTACTCTGACCTCCCCAATTAACACCTCAAATTCATGCTCTTCTTCGCTACTATCCTCAATATTGGCTTGTTGAGCATTAAAAGCTCCAACCCCTTGACTCAATTGACCCTCTAATTTGCGAATAGTTGCCTCTTGCCTTTCTATCTGCAATTGTTTTTCATTATTTTGTTTCAGAAGGCACTTTAACATATCCTTGATCTCCTTCAGGTCTGCATTCCCATTTTCTTTGTTCTTGTTAACTTCACAAGAAAAGGTAGAACCATCATAATAAAGGGTTGGGGGAAGATAAGAAATATAAGCACAATCATAAAAGTGACTATTTTTACCACCATACACATCACACACATTCCACAAATAAGATTGAGTTGGTGCACATAACTCGCTCTCAAGAACGTTTTGAAAATTTTGCCACGGGTGCTTTCCTTCACAATATGTATAGAGATCAATAGTAGAATTATCTACACCTAAATTCTCATAATTCCAAGATGTCATGTTTCTCAAATCAACAGTTATAAAAAAAAACAAAAAAACAAAACAAAACAAAATAAAAGTTCAAACTTGAACCCTAGCAATATATACAGCTACAACTACACCGTTAGTTCCCCGGCAACGACGCCAAAATTTGATCACGCCCAACTCTAGTCCTAAAAAGGATAAGCGGTCGCTGCAAATATAATCCGGTCTGAAATTCCGGAGTCGAATCCGACAGAGAACTAAGGCTTTGCTATATCTGTTTAATATCAGTAAAAAGACAAGTTTGAACAATTTTCTAAATTATAAAGATTGAGATTTATATTTCTAGCTAATTAACTAGCAAATACTAGAACGTGGTAAAATTATCAACTAACGAGACAAAGGGTTGGACACTAAATTAAGGAGGTCTAGAGTTATGATTTCCCCAATTGTCGGAATCCTTACAGCTATGTTCCCTACAATTTCGCCGATGTATTCTCTACTGATCGTGAGCACTTTAGGTGCCATAATTCTCTATCGAGCAACTATAATAATTTACTAGACATATTCTCTCAAACTACGCTAGTTGGCTTCATCTAAGTGCTCACTATGACCACGTCAAGGCTTTGTTATTTCTAAACCTACCTTTAAGCCCAATGTATTGATTTCTCACATACGTTAGGAGTGACGTTGTTCAACAACTACCTAAATATGTACTCTCTCTCGAGCAGTACACACTAAATAGGCACAGTCAATTGATGGCCATTCAATCAACAACAACAAACACGTAGTTGAACAAAAGTAGAGAAATCCAACGGCTCAATTATATAAAAAATAACAAGTATTTATTCTACAAAAGGTTCCATCAAAACCCTAGATAACAAATTAGTTATTCATAAAAGTATGCAAAAATACAATACTAGAATGCATAACCAATAATGGAAATAGGAAGAAGGAAGTGAAAAACTCGTGGAAGAATTCTCCGCCTTGCTCCCAATGTGTTCTTGCCTTCTTAGCTCGAATCTCCGGTCTCCTTAGCCTCCTTAGGTCTAAATTCTATCAAAAGTATGTCAAAAGTCCTCAAAATACCATTTTTCCATGTATATATACCAAATAGGGTCGGGCCCAAATAATTTCACCTTCTCCTATGCAAAAAAGGGCACTTTTCCCGGACAAGACGTGCGCGGCCGCACTTGGACCGCGCATATCCACTTTGATTCTGCCTGACGAGCGCGGCCTGAGCGCGGCTGCGCACTTGGCGTGCACTTTTCACCATGTTCTGTTTGGAATTTGGTAGAACGTAAAACATGAAAGTTGTAGCTCTTTGTGTTGTCTTTCCAACCATATATTATGGAGACTAAATGGAGATCTGAGCAAAAAGTTATGTGTATTTAACTAACACTGTGCATTATGCTTGCTCGATTCTTTTTTCGTTCTAAACTATCATTCATTGATCCCCGAACTCGATCCCCGCTTAATTCCTTAGGCTTTTACTCAGACTTCAAAGCTTCAAATCACTTGAATTCATTCCATAATATCTACATAGCTCGGAATCACTCCTACAAGGCATAAAACACACCATTAGTGCAAAATACTAGCGATTAAAGCTCAAACTCAATTAAAGCACAGTAAATTAGAGTGTAATAAGTGACTAAAATACGTAATTATAGCCTATCATCCCCAGGCATCGGAGATGTCACTGAAATGAGGTCGGCCCCGCCTGGGGAAGAGGTCGAGTCCCCGGTTACGAAGTAGGTGAAATATAACAAGAGGAAAAGGGTCTTGGAGTCCGAGGACCCCCAACCTACAAGGGCTCCAGTTCGAAGACGCAGGAGAAATATCATCCCTATGACTATAGAGTCGGCCTGCCAGCTGGGAGAAGAAGAATATGAAGACGAGGGCGACGACTCGGCGCTGGTGGTTCGAGCAAGGAAGCCGGTCGAGGTCGCCAAGCCTTCCAAGTTGGAGGCAATTATCTAGACCCTGCCTCGTGAAGAGGAGGCTTCAAAGAAAGATTCGGGAAAAGCCCCCGAATCGTCCGAGGTTGAGATCATCGCTCGGCCATCGACAAGTATGCCGGAGGGGGCCGGTTCTTAGACACCAAGGCTGAATAGAGCGGCCCGAGCGATTCGCTCGGGGCCATGACAATAGGTTATTCTCCTTCTCTACCGGCCTTTTCTAAGGAGGCTATAAGGGATGCTCAGGATCTACAGATCCCTGACATAGGCTGAGTCCCCAGTGAAGAGGATCCCTTCTGGGATTGCTTTCCCGGGGTTGATGATGCCGCTGATCTAAACGATGCATCTACCCTTTTTGAAGAGGCCCAACGCCTTCTCGAGTAAGTAATATTCCCGTCGTTGCAATTTTCTTTTCCTTCTTCTCCCTTTAACCTAACTTATATCTCTATTTTTACGTAGGCTTTTACCAAGTTTCAGTCCGATCTGAGCCAATGCGAGGCCGAGCTTCAGAAGACCTCGGAGGAGAAGAACGCTTTGAAGCTCCTTTGCGGTCAAAGGGATGAAGAGCTCAGGGACCTACGAGCGGATTTGGCCAAGGCTTGTAAGGAAGAGGCCGAGCTAGACGAGCAGGTAACTATCCTTTTGAAAGAGTACGGACTCGACCCAACGGTGGAGGCTAATACTTCTGTATCTCAATTGCAGCAAAAGCTGGAAAGGATCGAGCTCCTCCGGGAGGAAGTCAATCAAATCAAAGCCGACTCTGAGTGGTGGAAGGAGAAAATGGACCACCTTGCCGCGGAGAAAGAGGCTGCCTCGGCGAAGCTGTCATCGGCCGAGGTCCAACTTTGGAGCATCAAAGAGAAAAGCTCAGCCCAGGCCAAAAGGATCGAGGAGCTTGAAGCCGAGCTTGCTAAGGCCAAGGCGGAGGTCGAGAAGATGAAGATCAAGTCTAACAAGTCCATAGCCGTGTACCTGGCCGATGGCGAGGCTGCTCAAGCGTAGCTAAGGGAGGCTTCTAACCGAGAGCGACAGAGCAATGATTTGGTGAAGTGCCAATATCAGAGGGAGACCCTCAAGGAAATCCACGCTCAAGATTTCTTGTCTCCTCCGATGATGACAATGATGATGAAGGCAGCCAAGGGGGGTCCGATAACGACGAGGGGCCCGAAGGTGAAGCTGCCCCTGAGGGAGAAACCAGACCCAGGCATAATTAGGATTTTATTTTTCCTTTTCTTTTTTCTAAGACCCCCGTCGGTCCCCTGTACATATTTTTGCCCATTTATATAAAGAAGTTTTCCCTTTTGAATGCCTTGTCAACTTTTATCTTTGTGTGCCTTGTAAAACTTTAACACAATCTTATGCTTTGAATAGTGCGTTCGAGATTTTGGTCTTGGGTGGCTTCCTCAAAGTCACCACAGTTGAGTTCAAATAAGGTTCGAACTCGAGGTATAGGACCTTTAGGGTTTGTGTTGAATAATGGTGAGTCCCCGAGCCATAGTCAAATCAATTCTTATTTGGGCTCGGAATAGTCGAACCCTTAGGTTCGGATGGAGCGAGAACAAGATCTCGAATTCTAAGTGTATTGGCCCTTAGTCTCTTTAGATTGGGCCAATATGGCCTCTAAAAGATGGCTATTGTTCCCCCCTTTCGGCTTAAAATACTTAGTAAAAATTTCTTTATTCCTTAACATGTATTTTTTACCCATTGGGTTTTTATTGTTCGATGTCGATTGAAACTCCTCTACTTTTTGTGCCTTAGCACGTTTATGTTAAGATAATTTGATACCTCTTAAGGTTTTTCGAGGGTTGATTTTATCGAAGCTCTTTTGATTGTTTGCCGAGGGTAGCCTTTTTTAAACGACTTTTCAAAGAATTCGAAGGCCTATTTTTATTGCGGGATTCGGACGTCTCCGAACTGCATGATTTTGGCCATAGACTTTGGGTATGCCTCTTGGGCTTATTCCCTAATAACACTTCGAACTTGTTTGAAGTGTTAGTCCCCAAGAATGATGGCCTTGGCCTATAGATCAAGGGGTGCCTCGTTGAGGTCTTATGAATTCGAGTTTAGATAACTCGAATATGTCGATCATTGACGACAGTCCCCGAGTGTTCGAGGCATATTTGCGCTTGGCCCTTGAGCAATTTCTCACAAAAATCATAAGTATGAAGCTCGTATAGTAGAAAATTTTCTTTGAGACACAAGATGTTAGATATAGAAAGAATGCTTCTTGGAATAATTTATACATGCGTACATGTTTTGTCATCGGGGCTTGACTAATTTATATGGACACGGTTCATTCGACCATTTGGCCCATTACAAAGTTTACCTATTTAGATCCTTTGACATGAAGTACTTTCCTCGAAAATATAACATTTGAAGGTGATAGCCCCCCTCCCAGTATTCGAGGTTGATTGTAAAGAAGCCATGGATACTGTTGAATTTTCCTCAGGTAGCACATAATTGTTGCCTCATTAAAAACCTCGCCGGAAAAACCCATTTGGGATAAAAATCGATCGAAGGGAAAAAGAGTGCAACGCATGCTTTAAAACCTATGGTCCTCGTGTTGAAGAGTTTCTTGACGTCTTCGATCGAACACCTACAATAAGTTAGTATCAGTTACAAATGGAACGGGTGAAAGTCATACCTTAGAAATAATACCGTTTGAGAAGTGATATATTCCAATTGTTTGGCAATTGTTCGCCCTCAATTGTGCCAAGTTTGTAAGATCCCTTTCCAATGACACCGAGGACCTGATATGGTCCTTCCCAATTTGGGCCTAGTTTCCCTTCATTCGGGTCTCGAGTATTGAGGGTGACTTTTCTCAGAAGTAAGTCCCCGATTCCGAAGTGGCGAAGGTTGGTTCTTCTGTTGTAATATCTCTCGATTCTTTGATTTTGCACAGCCATGCGAACAAGTGCAGCTTCTCGTTTTTCATCCAATAGCTCGAGGCTATATTCATAGCCTCGTGATTTGATTCTTCCATTGCATGTCGAGATATGGTGCTAGGTTCTCCGACTTCGACCAGAATCAAGGCCTTGGAGCCATATACTAAGAAGAACGGGGTTGCCCTCGTACTGGACTTTGATGTTGTTCGATATGCCCAAAGGACTTCGGCTAATTTTTCTCTCCACTTCCCCTTAGCGTCGTTCAGCTTTTTCTTTAAGTTTTGAACAATAGTCTTGTTCGTCGATTCGGCCTGTCCGTTCCCACTAGGATGATACGGCGTTGATAATATCCTTTTTATTTTGTGGTCCTCGAGTAATTTCGTTACCTTGCTGCCGATAAATTGTTTTCCATTGTCACACACTATTTCGGCGGGTATCCCAAATCGACATATGATGTGATCCCAGATGAAGTCTATAACCTCTTTCTCTCTCACTTTCTCGATTGTCCGTGCTTCAACCCATTTAGAGAAATTGTCAGTCATAAATAAAATAAACTTATCTTTACCTGGGGCCGTGGGTAGAGGGCCGACGATATCCATCTCCCATTTCATGAATGGCAACGGGGATAGGACTGAATGAAGTTGTTCTTAGGGCCGATGGATCATTGATACCTTTGACATTTATCACATTTTCGAACAAACTCCTTAGTGTATTTTTTCATGCTATCCCAGTAGTATCTTGCTCTAATGATTTTGTGAATCAACGATTCGGTGCCGGAGTGGTTCCCACAAGTGCCTTCATGGACCTCTTGTAAAATATAATCGGTGTCTCTTGGTCCTAAACATATTGCCAATGATCCATCGAATGCCCTTCTGTATAAGGTTCCATCATCATCCAATCTGAATCGAGCAGCTTTGGTTCGTAGGGCCCTCGACTCTTTAGGGTCCGATGGGAGCTTTCCGTTCTTCAAGTATTCAATATATTTATTCCTCCAATCCCAGGTTAAGCTTGTATATTTTATCTCGGCATGACCTTCCTCGATCACTGATCTTGAGAGTTGAACGACAGTCCCCGAGCAGATCTAGTCTTCCTCGGCCGATGACCCCAAATTTGCAAGTGCATCGGCCTCACTGTTTTGTTCTCGAGGTACATGCTGTAAAGTCCATTCCTTGAAACGGTGCAAAGTTACCTGCAGCTTGTCCAAATACCTTTGCATTCTGTCTTCTCGGACTTCAAATGTTTTGTTTGCTTGGTTTACCACCAGTAAAGAGTCACACTTGGCTTCAATGACTTATGCTCCCAAGCTTTTAGCTAGCTCGAGACCTGCAATCATGGCCTCGTACTTGGCCTCATTATTAGTCAACCTAGAAGTTTTTATAGAATGGCTAATAGTGCTACCCGTGGGCGGCTTCAAAATGATGCCTAGCCTGAACCCTTTTACATTCGAAGCACCATCTATGAAAGGGGTCCACACCGCCGACTATGTGCCTGATTTTAACAAAAATTCTTTTTCAACTTCGGGTACGAGGGTTGGCATGAAATCGGCCACGAAGTCCGCCAAAATTTGAGACTTGATGGTCATTCGGGGTTGATACTCGATATCGTACCCACTAAGTTCGACGGCTCATTTGGCCAATCGACCCTATAGTTTGGGCTTGTGCAAAATGTTACGAAGTGGGTAAGTGGTTAAGACGCATATGGGGTGACATTGAAAGTATGGTTTTAACTTTCTAGAAGCGCTTATCAGTGCAAGTGCCAATTTTTCTAAGTATGGATACCTAGTTTCTGCTTCTCCAAAGGTTCGACTTACATAATAAATGGGAAATTGCGTACCTTGCTCTTCTCAAACCAGGACACCACTTACCGTGATTTCCGACACTGCCAAGTACAAGTAAAGTTTCATCTGCCTTTGGAGTGTGAAGCAGTGGCGGGCTCGACAGGTATCTCTTTAACTCCTCTAATGCTTGTAGGCATTCCGTGGTCCAAGCGAAATCGTTCTTCTTTTTGAGTAGAGAGAAAAATCTGTGGCTTCGATCCGACGACCTCGAGATGAATCGGTGTAAAGCATCTATCCGTCCAATTAGCCTCTGCACGGCTTTTACACTGTCCATGACGGTGATGTCTTCGATGGCCTTGATTTTATTGGGGTTGATCTCGATCCCCCGATTCGTCACCATGAAGCCTAGGAATTTGTCCGAACTGAACTCGAAAGCACATTTCTCGGGGTTGAGCTTCACGTTATATTTCCTCAAAATCTCAAAAGTTTCATGCAAATGAGCCAAATGGTTCTCTACGCGCAGGGACTTAACTAGCATGTCATCAATAAAACTTCCATTGACTTACCTATTTGTTCTTTGAACATTTTATTTACTAGGCGTTGGTAAGTAGCTCCAGCATTTTTTAGCCCGAAGGGCATTACATTCTAACAATTTGTTCCATACTTCGTGATAAATGAAGTCTTTTTTTGGTCTTCCGGGTTCATTTGAATTTGATTGTACCCGGAGTAGGCATCGAGAAAGGTAAGTATCTCTTGGCCAGCTGTGGTGTCGATCATGGGGTCGATGTTAGGCAGTGGAAAAGAATCTTTGGGGCATGCCTTGTTTAAATCTTTATAATCTACACACATTCTAAGTTTGTTCCCCTTTTTTAGGGACTACGACTACATTGGCTAACCATACGGGATATTTTACCTCCTGAATGGACCCTATTTTGAGAAGTTTAGTTACCTCATCCTTTATGAATGCGTGCTTTACCTCGGATTGGGGCCTTCTCTTTTGTTTCCCCGGTTTGAACCTAGGGTCAAGGCTTAGCTATGCGTCGTTATCTCCGGTGGGATCCCTGTCATGTCGAAATGGGACCAAGTAAAACAATCTATGTTATCGATAAGAAATTGATAAGCTTTTTCCAGAGTTCGGGGGTTAATCCCGTTCCCAGGTATACCTTTTGCTCAGGCAGGTACTCGATCAATATAATCTGTTCCAGCACTTCGACCGTTGATTTGGTGGCGTCCGAATCTTCAGGAACAATTAAAGTTCGAGGATTTAGAAAATTTTCTTCTTCCTCTTCAAACCCTGCTTCCTTGATTCGGTCGAGGCTGGTGGCTGTGATTGCTATTTG